GTGTTTGTGAAGGTGGCTGGGGCCTGGGCATCCTGGAGTGGGCTTGCCTCAGGCCAGGCACCCAGATGTCTGGGTGGAGAGTGGTCCTGAGGGCCCAAACCCAGGTGCTTCCTGCACTCAAGGGCCACAGCCCCCTGAGACCTCAAGCTCACACCCAGGGCTTTCTTGGGGACATCTCCCCCCAGTAGTGCACCCCATCCCTCTGGTAAAGGAGGCCCCAGAGCATGAGGGGCACAGTAATCTTCTGTCTACAGTCTGTGGCTTGGGCCTTGGTGTCCCCATCTATAAAACGGGGTGACTGTGATAAAGCGCAGGGTACTTTAGGGCAGTCTCTCACTGAACACTATGCCAGCCCTGGAGGGAGGTGCTGTCACTGACCTTGTATAGATGAGTAAACAGGTGCAGAGAGGTGAAGTGACACAGCAATGGGGTGGAGGAACTGGGAGAGGGGACTTGGGTCTCACTGGGCTGGGTCTGCTCTGTCACTGGGATCCGTGCCCTCATAGCCCCAGCAAGCTCAGTTCAGAGGCCGTGAGACTCAGCACCCCCTCCCCCGGGTGCTCCCCAAGCCCATCCTCTCCCTCCCCTGCTCTGGGGCTGTCAGGAGCCTGAGAAGAACAGGGCAGGGCTGAAGGCTGCGCAGGCCTCACGACCCCCACCTAGCTGAGAGTGGCTTTGCCTCCAGGAACACGGGTCCCTGTTCCTGCGACACGGGCTAGTGAAGCCGCTCTTAGCTTCTGCTGTCCTCTAACTGGGAGATCTTGGACAAGTTGCTAAATCACTCTGGCCGTCCATTCCCCCCACCCCACCCCACCCCCGCCACCTCTCAGCATCTCAGTCCTCCCCGCAACTCTCTGAGGCTCAGAGAGGTTAAGTGACTTGCCCAAAGCCACCAGCAAGCTTGTGGGCAGGATTTCGAGGAAGAGAAATCCCAGAAGGGGCGCACAGGGGCCAGACCCACCAGACAGTGAAGGGAGAACGGGGGAATGGGGGAGATGGACAGGCAGGCCCAGAGCTGGTCAGGGTCTCCTGCCCTCTGGCAGGACACAGCTGTCCCCTCTCCCCCAGGCCATAGGCCTCCTCCTGTTCCTGTAAATAATTAATTAGGCCCTGCTTGCTTGTTTGTTTAGCATGAGGAATGCTCCCCCACTGAGATGCATTTATTGCTGAATAAATTTAAATATCTAATCTTCCATTCATGAATATTACAGCACCCTAAATAGCAGCCAACATATCCTAAGCACATTGGCAAATGGCCCCCATAGGAGCCTGCATGCCTCCGTCTCTGCTGGCTCTGCCCTCCCTGGTGCCCTTCCCGACCTGGACTTGCGAGGGGCTGGGTGTGAGCAGAAGCCTTGGAGGCTTACTGTGGGGTATGGAGGCCACGCGGTTGGCAGGAGGGCTGGCGGGCTCCCAAGCAGGGGCAACGGGGCTTATTTACGGGGGTGCCTGGGACCAGGCAGAGGGGCAGGGCTGGAGCAGAGAGGGCAGACAGGACCCCCAGACAGCAGCAGCATCTGAGGAGTCAGGAAGCAGGCAGTAGAGAGGGTGGCAAGAGGACCCTGAAGAGGGTCTCCAAGGCAGCCTTGCTGTGTGGAGGCAGCTAGCTGTCAGCGTGTGGACGCAACTGGATAGTCAAGCAAGAGTTCTTAGCAGACTTCTTAGCAAGGAGAGGTTCCCAAAGCAGTCCCTCTGTTGGGAGAGGGAAGTGTTGACATGGGGAGGGGGACAGGAGCCAGGCTGCAGGAGCTGGCAGTGAGGTGGGGACGCTGACACAGCAGGTATAGACAGTGTCTCCCCAGAGTGGGTAAGGAGGGCAAGCGGGAGCCAGACCGCCAGGGCGGGAGGGAGGGTGGGGTGGGGTGGGGAGAGATAGGCCCTTTTAGTCTCCTACAGGAAGCAGAGTGGTCCAGCTGTGTGACTTCGGGGAAGTTTCTCACCCTTTCTGTGCCTCAACTTCTTCTCTAAAGCAGGAAAAATAATAGGACCTCCTAGGTGTCTGTGAGAATCAAACAAGAGGGTGGATGGAAACTGCTGGGCACCTGGCAGGTTCTCAGTAAGAGGCTGAAATGCAGGAGCCAGATCCGGGAGCTCAGCGGTGAGACTCCAGGAGGGTGCTGAGGAGGCGGCGGGGTGGGCCGGCGCAGTCTTCTCCAGGAGGAGGGACTCAGCCTTGACCTGCTAGAGAGACTGAGGATGGCCCCACCCCCCTCGTGGCTCAGCCTCCCCAGGTTTTCTGCTGGTCGGGGTGGGGTGGGGGTTAAGTTGGAGGTTTGAGGTTTGTTAAGATGTGGCTGAGGGGTCCAGGGAGAGAACTGAGGGTCAATTGGTATGAACTGAGGACACCACCCTCCCGCCAGGCAGCCCAGGGTCAGGTAAGGAGGCGAAGCACCCCTTTCTTGGATGGAGCCCCAGGAAGCCTCCTCCTTGCAGCCTCCAAGGCTTAGCTTAGCTTAACGATGAGCCCAGGACAGAGGCTGGAGTCCGAGCCAAGGGAGCTGCTGGTCTGGTTGTGTGAGGAAACAGAGCAAGGGCGGCCCCTTGGGCCTCTGGCTGAGGCATCATGGCTTGGGGGGGTCCCCTTAGCACTCAGAGGTGGGAGAGCAACAAGGCGGGTGTGTGGACAGGGAAGGGGCAGGCAGCAGGGGCCAGGCTGCTGAGACCCTGACTGCCTGGCCAGTCTGTGCAGTGGCCCAGGGGTGGTGCCCAGGGCCCACCCCTCATCTGTGCTGTGGGGGAACTGCACAGCAGTCACAGGGCCTGGCCCTGTTCTGGACACTGCTGGGGGGCTCCAGTCCCAGCCTCTGCTAGCTCTAGTTCCTCCCTCCTACGCCCACCTCATGCCCCCAGGTCAGCCCCAAAGGCCTGACTGCAGGCCTATCCACTTCTGCAGGAAACATTAACTCCCTGAAACACAAATCTCAGTGAGCTCCACTTCCGCACCTCCCCCCCCCCCCCCCCCCCCCCCCCCCCC